TGGGCAGGTAAACTTGCCTTCTAGACATCAGAATCACCTGAGAGCTTTAAAAAACAAACCCACAGCTAGGCCCCCTATTAGGTCAATTAAATTAAACTCTTCAGGGAGTGGGACCCAGGCGTGGATATTTTGAAAAGCTTTTCCAAGTATTCTAAATTTCAAGGGCAGCCAAGGTTGAGAATCTCTGCCCTACATAACACACACACACCCCTTTACAAATGTTATGTTAGACACGGGGGACCACGGGTCCCCAGAGGGAGTGTGGTGCTCTGGAGAGGCTTTCTGTAGGAGGTGACTTCTGAGCTGAGCCATAAGGCAGTGAGAGGCCTTGGCACACAATCTGTGAATATATTTTATTCTTAATAGCAGCCTTTCCACTCACAGAGTCCCCGATAGCCCCTTCCCATGCCCTGTCCCTCCCCTCTCCTCCACACAGTCTTGTGTTCATTATGACCAAAGAACCACACTTCAAAGATGCCAAGTGACTTGACAAGGTCACCTGACTGCTGAGTACCTGGGCCACACTGAAACCAGGTGGCTCTTCTGACTCCCAAACCAGTACCCTTCCCTGCATCCCACCCCAGGGGTGGCAAGGCCCAAGGGCGGTCACTCTGGAATCCAAACCTCTCCTGCCACTACCACTATTCTCAGGTTACCTGTTACTGGCTCCGGGCCCCAAAATGCTCCCACTAGGCTCTGGCAAGGTGGCTTCCCTCAACACCCCTTCCTACTGTGTGACCAAAAGGAAGAATTAACAATAAAGGGGGAAAAAAAAGAAAGAGAACCAAAGATCCTACTCCATCTCATTAAGAAAGTAAACATAAGAGCCATCTAAGTGTCTAATTAAGCTTCTAATTAGTCCCTGCTTGTTACTAATGCAAATTAGATTACTCCGCTTAACTACAGCATGTCCACAACACCCTTGTTAATTGCGGCCTTTTGAAATTAAATTACTCCCTAATTAGCATATCAAAGCCATTGATTCGGAGCTGGGAAAGATGAGGGCAAGAGAAGCCGAATGCCAAGTTTGGTTAATCAGAGATGGCTAATTAAATAGTGACGTCTTACGTGGGGGGCCTGCTGCTAGGGGGTAGGGGCAACTCGCCCAGGGCCCGGATGGCCATCTGGAGCCTGGTTCTGGCAGTGCCTTTGGTACGAGGGGCTCCCGCGGGCAGAGGAGGGACTCTAGTGGCCCTGGGCCCTTGGCTGTTCTGCCCAGCCTACCCTGACAGGCCCCGGCCTCACCCTTCATCTCCTCAGATGATTTCTAGGTGTGGCATTCACCAGGACCTTGGGCACCAAATTCAGCGCCATCCGAAACGAAGCCACATTTGAATAGGCTAAGAGTAAACATCCTTCCATGTCCCTCTCCCTGTTCCAAGGTGAGTTCCAGAAGGGTGGCATCTACCTAGTTTTTCTCTAGTCCCCACTTGTGGTTCTGTTCTTGGAAGAAAGCCACTCCTCCCCCAACAAAAAGTACACCAAAAGAACAACTTTGGGAGGTGGGTAAAAGGGTGATGACTTTCACAGAGGGGCTCACCCTGCAGGGGTGGGCTGGTTTCATCTTGGAGCAGGATCCTAAAGACACAAGGCCTTATCATTCCCTCCATGGTAGCAAACAGGGAAAAAGAATCACTACCGGCCATCAGTTCTTAGGCAGCTGTGTGGGAACTAGATTCGGGCCAGGGCATCCTTACAGATCTTCTCTGAGCTCTTGTTGTACAGACCCTGCAGAACCTTCCAGACACTATTCTCTCCAGATGTTCCCTGAAGAATACTGGGAACAGGCAAAACTCTGAGTCAGAACCGCTAATCAAAATGCCCTCGGGGCCAGGTAGTCACCCAGGGGGCCAGGTGAGAAGTGGAGGGCAGAAAGGAGGCAGCCTGATACTCAATCCAGTCCATCCCTACCACACAGAAGTGCAGGTACCGTGTTGACAGGGTATCTGTTTTTCTAAAGAAGCGGAAGTGGGGATACAGACGTGAAATTCATTGTAATGAACTATGTGGGGCTCAACAAAACTTTGCAGGAAAGAAGTCAGTCAATTTGTGCCCCAACATTCCAGAGAGGCTAGTTCCACTTAACTGTGTGACCCTGGGCAAGTCATGTCACCTCTCTGAGCCTGGGTCCTTCACCTGTCAAATGAGAGTAATAACTATCACTACCTGGAGAATCTCTCAGGGTTGGGGCGAGAATTAGAACAAGGAGGTATGTCAAACTGCAAAGCACAGTTGAGCTCTGGTGACCACCTTGTCTACCTGACACAATCACCCCCAGATTTTCTAGTGGGTGTGTCTTACGAGAACCTTCTCCCCCTATCTTTTGCACAGGGGGCAGAGCTAGGGCTTCCAAGTATCCTTGAAAATGCTGAGGCTTTGTAGTTGACCTGGCTGCTGGAAAGCCTGGAGGTACCACACACCTGTTCCCTCTGCCCTACAGTTAGTGGATCAGCCGGGGCTGGGGCAACAGCTTCTAAACAGAACAAGAACAAAATCCCTATGGCTGAGAGGTTCCTAGCTTGATCCTTCTTTACCTGCCTCCTCCCCAGCTAGGATGGAGTCTACCCCAACCCTCCCTCCCTCCCCGGGAGCTCCAGGAGCATGCTGGGTCAGGGCCAAATTCCCAAAGGGGGAGATTTTGTTTATTTAAGGGGAGGACGTTCTACTGCCCCCACCTCAGCAAGTGTGAATTCCAGGCAGTACCCAGCCCAGGAACATCCATCCAAGCCAAACTGGACAAAGAGGTCCACAGCAGTGGTTTTATTTTAGAAAATAAGTGAAATTAAAAGCAAAGCAGAACGAGGATTGGGAGGAGGGGTGGGCTCTCCTGGTGTGGGGGGAGGGGGGACGGCGGCGCATAAGGGCCAAGCTGCAGGCTGCCTCTCGGAGCTCTCTCCCCCAAGGAGATTCAATTAATTGATAACAAGAGGCATCAAATTAATTTCTGGAGGATGTGAGATTCTGATGAAGGGAAATCTCGTCGATGGGGATCAGACGGGAGGGGGCGGGCAGTGCCCCCTTTAATCAGGTTCCACTGTCTAATTGGGAAGGAGGAGACTTGCCTGGGTTGCAGGATCCCCTGTCCCCAAGCTCCGCAGTGCCCCTTAGGGAAGGATCCTGGGGGGCAGAGGGAAGGGTTTGCATTTGGGGCCTTCAGGTCTCTTCTCACCTGGCCGCCAGCTGTGGGCTTTCGGATGGGGAGGCCAGGGAGAGGGGACTGCAGGTGCCTTTTCACCAACTTTACATTTAGGAAAACCAAGGCTTGGAGAGAAAGTGAGTCATACCTAAAGCCACAGGGCGAGTTAGGGAGTTGGTAGCAGCGTGCTTACAGGGGCCTTTCCTGATGTACCTGTCTGAGTCCAGACCCTGTATAGGACCCAGACCCATGAAGTCACTCCTGAGCACAAGGGGTACAGCACACAGTGTGAGTGGCCCTCTCTGTGGCTACAAAAGGCCATGCTGCCCAAGCTGTCCCCTCCTCCAGCGTTCCCGGATGGGTGCTCAGCTGCAGTCATTTGCTCAGCATCTGGTGAGGGCTGACGAAAACACCTGGTGCTGCATCCCAGCGCTCAGGGCTCAGACATCAAGGAGCTTCCAGCAACTCACGCATGCCCTTGGGAGCTCAGGGAAGTGCTGGCTGGGAGCGTAACCCAAACCGTCCTCAGCCGGGGAGGGGAGACAGGTAGCCCTGGCTCTCTGGGGAAAGAAATCCCAGAGGCTAAAAGGAGGGATCCTCCAGCTCCAATCCAGAGAGGCAGCCGCCTCAAGATGCCTGGCACTTTGCTCCCCAAGTGCACACAGCAGCTGCCTCTTGCTGAGTCTCTGCAAATCCTGACTCTATCCCAAATTCTCCCCAGCTGCATCATTCACTTCCAGGATGTGGATGTGTATCTGCACAGAGAACTCTGGAAGTAGAGGAGGTGGTACACTGCTACCCTCTTTTAGACCAACTTCTTTAGGCCTGCCTGTGTGTTCCAGAAATGTAAAGCCAGCTGGGGAATGGAACATTAGGGAGGCTACTCGGGCCTGCCCCACTGAGGAAAGGAGAACAGAAGCCCCCTTACTTGCCTACCTCCAGTTCCCCTTCACATGGGTAGGCCCTCCCAAGGACACTCTCTAGGCAGCACAGGTGTCCTGTCTCACCTGTAGGTGTCAGGACCCAAGCCTGCCTCAGGTGGCTGGTACCCATAGGAAAGATCAGCGCTCCAGCCTTTGCTCAATTTCTGATTTTCTAAGTTGCAAGCGAGCCCCTCATTTCACCTCTTCTCTCAGCCCCACCCTACACCCAGTGGGCATTCCGTGATGTTTATGAGACAGACACAACTACTAAGTCCCTGGCTCCATGCCCCAGTCACCCTGCCTTTGAGTTGCCATCATTTTGCCCCCTTCTTCCTGCCAGTCAGAATTCTTAGGAACTTCCACCCCACCAGCCCTGCCTACCGGAACAAATGCCCGCGGGTCTCTATTCTGCACAATCTGCTCTGTTACTGTCTGCGGAAAACCCACCATCTCGCCCCCACCCATTTACATGGCCGCCCAGGTCAGGTGCCATCGGAATTAACTCACGGGGGAAGGAAACACCGTTTACCTCTGTCTTGCATGGCCAACTGACCCCACCGGCTCTCCCAGCTGCCTGGGAACTACCACTTCTTCATGTCTTTTTACTTGTGACCAAGCTGTCCCTTAGGCCTAGAACTACTTCATCCTCCCCACACACCCACTCACTCTCAGGGCCCAGGTGTGGGGGCTCCAGCGGGGCACAGGATGAGTCCTAGGGAGGTGGCCAGAGCAGCTGGGACCCAGGGCACAGGCCATATGGCTGGAATGGAGAAAGGTGCCAGGCTGTGCTGGAGGGAGAGCTGGGAAAAGACCTGGGGTCCGGGGACAGGGGGTCAAGGCAAGGGAGGGCACCAGCCAGGCCCAGGCCAGTCGAGCTCAGGTGACACCCCAGCAGCGCTGACTCCACAGCTCAGCACCCTGTGCCCAGCTCAACTGTGTACCTTTTGTGCTGAGAGCTCTCCCTTTCTAGCTCAGACACGCGTGCCCTGAGTCCACGCTCTGCAAGGGCCCAGGAACAACATCTCACAAGGCCACGGCATCCAAAGCCACAAGGTTCCAAGGAAAGAGTTCCCACTGTGATCCCAGCTTAGCGGGAACTGGCAGCAGCGACGGTGTGTATTTCTACGGAGTATCCCGGAAGACAACACTGAACACAGCCAGTAACTTCAGGCTCAAGAGGAGTTTCTTTTTGCTTCTTCCAGGTGATCCATTCAGTGGTAGGTCCCAAACCGGTCTGAGACTTGCTGCCAAACGTCTTCCATAAGGATGTGTAGGCTAGGGTTGCCAAACCCTAGAAATCTCCTTTTTTGGAAAGAGGGGTACCAATCATTTTTCCTCCTCTGAGTTCTGGGAAATTGTCTCTCCCTTTTATATTTGTCTCCATAAGTGCCTTAGGAGATGCTAAGTGCCTTAGCCTGCAGGATGCTCCAGGGTTGTATGCGGGTGGGAAATGCCAGGTTCTGAACCCAGAGCCCCCACCCCCTTAAAGGGAAAATAGGAAGGGAAGATACAGCCTTCGCCTGGAAGGAAGAGAGGGGGCCTAGGCCGAGCTTGTGGATCAGGGAGTGGCAGCTCCTCCCATCCCTGCCTTTCTCCCTTCCCCACAGGAACCCCCATCTTAGTCCCAGCTCTGCTACTAAGTAGCAGTGAAACCTCAGACAAGTCACCTCTTCTCTCTGGGCTTCATTTTTCCACCCTATAAAAATGAAGGTTAATACTCTAGTATTTCCAGTATTCAGCCAACATGTGGCCTGGCAGTGCCGGTAAGCTAAAAATAAAAGCCACCCCTTGATCGGCAAGCACTGCCACGCGCCAGGCACTGTGCTAGGTACTTCGCATCTGCTCTCTCCTGCAACTCCCAAACGGACTCTTTAAGGTGGGTATTATTGACCTACTTTACAATGTACGAAAATTGAGGTTCGAAGAGCTTAATTAAGGTCCCCAGGGTCCATCCCTACTGCCGAGTTCCAAAGCCTTTTCCACTCCGACACACGTTCTGCCCTGGAGAGGCCTGCGTTCCTTCCTTGCTCTGGGTTCCAGAGTTCTGGGGCTGAGTCTGAGGAAGCCATTTCAGCCAACCAAGCCCCAGAGTCCTGTCAAAAATAGTACCTGCCCTGCCTTGGTCTGGGGAAGCCGGCAGGGTGGTAAGATCTCAAGGAAGGGAAACTGTGAGAAGCTTCTTGGATGGAAGAAATTATTATTTCACACAGTTCGGGCTATTAGGAAAGTAAAGACACCGTGCCTGCTTCGGATGGAGTGGAGGGGCTTGCATGGAGGCTGCAGAGACAGGAAACGGCCAAGGCAGTGGTGCAGCAGCGCAAGGTTAAGATGCAGGAAAGGAGGGGGCAGCTCTCAGGCAAAGGTGGCTCTTTGGGGAGATGACCTGTTCCCTCCCTTGCACCTCAGATCTCTCCTCTGAAACAGACACTCTGTCTCCACCCTTCTCCCCTGACCTGATATCCTTCTCTGCTACACCAGCAACAGCAGACCCCAGCCTTCACCATACAGGTACCCCAGTACCCCATCTGGGACCTGCCCAGACAGAGTAGGGGCTCAGCAAACATTTGGGGAATTACTGGATCAAAAGAAAGCTCCCCCCAAGGAAGAGGTGTGTTCAGAGTAGGGGCCCAGCAGGATATGCACATTCCTGGCAAGAAGGGACCTCCCTACCTGCCTACAGCCAGAAAGGAAGTTTTTGGCCAAAGGCAGAGGAAGGGGGATGGGTGTCTAGGTGTGAGGGTACTCACACAGAAAGGAACAGGGGCAGGCCCCTTTACAAGCTGGGCCAGGTCTATCCTGCCCCAGACATTCTCCAGCCCTGGTGTTAGGCTCTTCCCTCCCCAGGGCTCAGGGGTTCCCCAACTCCATAACTTCTGGGAAGCCTGCCCAGGACTGGGAGAAGGATAGAAAACCCCGCCCAGGCACCTGGCGCTTAGTGCCAGGAGAGAAGCTTCCTGTGTTCTCCCCCAACCTAGTGCCAAAGCTGGAGCCAGGGTGAAGGAGAGCCTGAGGGTCTAGGAGGAGAGATTCGGATCTCACACTGGGCCTGGGTGTGTGTGTGTGGGGGGGTGGAGGCACCCACAATGCTACCTCCTTCCCATGCCACCTTGCCCCAAGACTAGAGTGTGAGCGACCTCAGATGGGGAGCCGCCAACTTACAGACTTTTGAAGGACTCAGATCTAAGGCCACCCGGGAGCCAGCAAGCTGTCCAGGTACACAGCCCAGCCCCTGTGCCCTCCCTCCAGCCGCCAGGTAACAAAGAGCTCAGAACCCACGACAAGGCAAAGTTTCTCAAGTTCAAAAAAAAAAAACAAAAAAAAAGCTTGCATACTTCCCCGCAGGGGTTTTCAGCAGAGGTTTTCCAGGGAGGCCGCTGGCTACCCTTTAGGCAGCTCGGTCCAGCTAGGCCCAGCCTTCTGCCTCTGCACCTACCGGCTGGTTCACCAGGGGTCGGGGCAGTCGGGCCTAGAGGCCATTTAGTCCCGGCTGTCTATGCAAAGCGCGCTTCTGGGTTTGGGCGGGCGTAGACCTTCCCGCAGCTACAGGCCAAACAGACAACCCCGCTGCTCCTTCTTTCTGAGTGGGAGGAGGGGGCACTCAGGCCAACCCTAGCAACTGTCCCCTGAAGCTGTGCTACTGCGACCCTCAGTCCCAGACCTGACACAGTTCCGCAGGGACGAATCCCGAATCCAGGCGGGTACGCTGAAACCGGGGTGAAGATGCTGAAGTTCAGGTAAAACCCGCTTTGGCCAAAATGCTCTTGGGCTTTCTTGGGAATCGCCGATGTGGCAGCTTCAGACTCGGATTTGCTCCTGGAGGGCCCCTTACCCCTACCTCCAGCTCTGGGCACCACGGTCCACCGGCAGGGACACCAGGCGCCGGGGTGCCAGACACGCAGGGATCTCCGGATGCCTTAAAACTAGCCGCCGAGCGAGGAAACCGGCCAGGAGAAGGGTGGCGAGAGGGGCCAGGGTGAAAAGCGAGGAGCAGGGCGCTCCCCGGGCTCTGGGTTCCCGTATCCTTTTTCGCCCAACCTAGAGAGTCGGGGTGGGTGGAAGCGGGTGAGCGGGTGTGTTCACGAGGCCGCCCCAGTCGGGGAGAGAGGGGATCCGCCTCTGTCGGGCCTCTGCCTCAGAATCCGCGTCCCGCGAAATTGCACAGTTCTCTACCCGGGCAGCCCGCACCCCGGATCGCTCCGGGCGCCGCGCTTTCTAGCGCCGCAGGCGCTGCTCTGGAGCAGCCCGAGGAAGTTAGTTTGGCGTTGATGGGGAACGCGAGGCTTGAGCGCCGCGGGTCAGAGGTGCTGGGGGAGGGCACTGTCCAGGCGAGACACTAGAGTCCTCAGTCTGCGGGGAGCTCCTGCTTGGTCCCTCCAGGATACTTCCCCGGTGGCCTCTGACCCCCGCTGCCGCCCTCTCTGCTCCTCCTACACGTCGGAGCGAGGGCTCTCCCCCAAAGGGGTGCGCAGAGGTACCGGCCAGATCGCTCCCCCACCCTCCACCGTCGGCGCACGGAATCACAGGGGCTGTTTCCAGACGCTCTCCCGTGCCCAAGAAGTTTTCCGCTCAGTCTCCGCGCCGACTGAGGGATGGGAAGAAGGGTTGACTGGCTCGGGCACTTCCGAGGTGCGACCTCAGCAAGACGAGTCCCTTCCTCACCTGACGCGACGCGGCCGGTGGGACCGCCGTCCCCACCCCCTCCCGTTTCCCCCAAGTCCATCTGTCTCCGGCGCGACTTGGGGAGTCCCTCACGGACCGGGGCTGGGGGAGCCTACTTCACCACTTCCCTTCCCAGCTCAGGGAAGTCCGGCCCGGGAAGTATTCTTTGTCTGACTCGGGGCAGGGGGGTCGTGCCCCCTTACACCCCGTTCCCAGCGGCCAGGCCGGGAGGGGGCGGGGCCCAGATTCTTGGGGAAGGGCGGGCCTCAGTGGCCTCTCCAGCCGTCCCCCGGCTGGCCTCTCGCTGCCCCCACCCCCGCCGCGCCGCAGTCCCCACCTGTTCCCAAGGCAGCTCCAGCCCGCGGGGCCCGGGCCGGGGGCGGGGTGCCGCGGCTGCGCTGGGTCAGTGCGCCGCGGCCGGCCCGGCTGGAACAAAGTACGCCGGTCTGGGCCCGGCTCCTCCCCGCGCGTCTCCGGCGGGCAGTTTGCAAACACAAAGTGAGCCAGTGAGCGGGCGAGAGAGTGCGCGAGCTAGGGAGTTGGTCTGGTCGGCGGCCCAGCCCCCACCCGCGTTCCCGGGCCCGACCCGCCACCTACCTGTCCGGCCCGGCCGCTCCGTGCGGGCTCCGGCCCGTCAGCCCGCACGGGGCATGGGGCTCGCTCCGGTCGCAGCCCGGGCCCGCCGCCGCCCGCCGGGGCTGCCCCTCCGCGCCGCCCCGCGCCGCGCCGCTCCCGGGCGTGCTCCTTGCGCGCCGCGCCGACCGCCGCGCGCCTCAGCGCCGCCGGGGCATCGCACTTTGTGGGCGGCTCGGCTCGCTCCGGCCCCGCTCCTGCTTCCCGGTCCTTCCGCGACGCTAGTTAGCTCGCTCCGGCTCCTGGGCTCCCGGACCCCGGCGTCCCCGCCCCCGGCCCAGCCCTGGTTCCGGCCCGGGCTCCTCCCCGCCGCGCCGCCGCCGCCTGCGCCGCGCCCTCCTTGCGGGCTGGGGGCTCCGTCCCGGCCGCCGGCCGCACAGTCCGCTCGGCAGGGGCGGCCGGCTGCGGACTCCGAGGGGCTGCGACTGAGCCTGGGATGCGAGTGGCTGCGAGCGGGCGGCGCGCGGGCGGGGGAGGAGGAGGGCTGGAGGGAAGGAGGGAGCGCGCGGAGAGCGAGGGAGGAGGGAGCGAGGGAGCGAGCGGCGGAGGGAGGGGAGAACAACTTCTAGTGCTACCATAATTCGCCTAAAGCAGGTGCAGCCACTTTCGCCCCGCTAGGCAGCCAGCCGAGAGCGAGAGAAGACCACGTGGACCAAACTTTAGGGGAGGAAAAGTGGGGTCGTGGGGAGAAGACGTAGGGCTACGGATCTGAAAAAGGGGGTAGGTGGAGAGACCGCGGGGATTCCGCCTGGCCTCGGACTAGATCTGTGGCGCGCTTTGCAAATCCTGGCCTTACCCTGGAGTCTGGAGGTACGGCCGGTCCTGCGCCCACACGGTTCACTGGTTCCCGGCGGGCTGCGCCCGGCGCAGGGAGTGGCCAGGGGCCCAGAGACCGGAGCCGGCGTCCGGCCTCGGCCCTGCCCGGCCTCCCTCCTGCTCCCCACCGTGTGGGGACTGGGGGTGGGCTTTCTGAACTGGGGGTGGGGGGCGGGGAGGCTCCTTCTGGGCTTTGTGAACAGTCACCCCCGGGCCCGCGCTGCCTCCCTCTGAGGAAGGGGACTTTCCCAGAAAGTGCTCCGCGGGCCAGTGAAGAAGGGGCCCAAGGCAGAGCCACGAGGGCAAAGCGAAGTGCAAAGTCGAGACAATTACCTGGACAAATTAGCTTGTAAACAAAACTCAGCGTCTTTGAATGCCGCTTTTGCCGGGGGACCGGAGGGATTGTGATGCTGGCGGTGGTGTGTTTGGGTTGGGAGGGGGAAGTCCGGGTGAGTAAATGCCCGCGATCCAAGGGGAAGGGCTGTGTTGGTAGCAGATGCCCCACTCCGAGATTCGTGGACATGTCAGCAAATCCTCCCTCCCACCCCCCACGCTGGAAACATCTCCCGTCTGTCTGTATGGAGGGTGGGGAGAAGTGAGGGATGCCTCGGGGGTCCTCAAGGAGCGCCCCCAACCAGCCCAGTGATGCCAGGTCCCCGTGACCAGGGGAGGACCCTGCCGTGGGATCAGGGCGGGAAGGCAATGGCTCTTGAAGGCGCTCCTGGCCCCAAATCGCCCGAGGCAGGTGGTCAAGGGGCAGACACAGGATGCCCCTCTGGACTGTGAACTGGCAGAGGCGGTGGAGGTGGCGGCAAGAATTGATGCTTAGCTGCCTGGAGAGAGAGGCCTTTTTGGAAGAGAAGGCCCTTCCAATGGGGCTTGAAAGAAAAGGGGTCTCAGAGAGAAGATTCCCTCTTGGATTGTTCTTTATCACTTATTCTGTTTCCTGTGGGTGCAATAGCATAAAGTAGTTGTAATGTTGGTGACACCTGCCCAGGTCCAGATCTTATGTATTTGCCCAGTTGGGCAGGTGTGACAGGCATATTTAGGTCCTGTCAGAACCTTTCAGATATCTGGATGTGACATTGTGGGGGGAAGGGCTCTAAGTACCATTTATTTGGCTGTCACAGTGTCTTTTCCAGTGTAGCAACCGCAGTAGCAATAAGGCTAAAATAACAGCTAACATTTGAGTTGAACCACATGCCGGGCATATTGACTAGTTTAGTCTTCACAATAACCTCATGTGATAGATAGTTCTATGATCTCCACTTTACAGAGGAGGAAATTGAGGCACAAAAAGATCAAGTCACTTGCCTACATTTGCCCAGCAGGTAAATGATGGAGCCAGATTCCAGCCTAAGCCATATCAGTGAGGACAAGGAAGAAGCTCATGGAGGTCTTTTCTTTTGAGACAGAGTCTCACTCTGTCGCCCAGGCTAGAGTGCCGTGATGTCAGCCTAGCTCACAGCAACCTCAAATTCCTGGGCTCAAGTGATCCTGCTGCCTCAGCTTCCCCAGTAGCTGGGACTACAGGCATGCGCCACCATGCCTGGCTAATTTTTTCTATGTATTTTTAGTTGGCCAATTAATTTCTTTCTATATTTAGTAGAGACAGGGTCTCACTCTTGCTCAGGCTGGTTTCTAACTTCTGACCTTGAGCGATCCTCCCGCCTGGCCTCCCAGAGTGCTAGGATTACAGGCATAAGCCACCATGCCGGGCGGCTCATGGAGGTCTTTAAAGCTGCACTGCCTGCTTGTGGGTTACCTGAGGAGGAGGAGGATGTTTTGGGATAAAGTCCTTGGTCGTATGATCCAGTTTATCTTGTGTGGAGATCCAGCTCTGGTGGAAGTCGTGGAGTGGCAGGTCCTTGAGTCAGGTCAGCCGGGGCAGTGACCATGCCCTCAGCCCTCTCTCCCAGCTTCCCTGCTGTAAAGGCTGAGGGTAGGATGCAAACTAGGGACCTGGGGCACAAAAGAGGGGATCTCTGCAGGGGACTTGAAAGGAGGTGACCTCCAGTGGGCCTCTCCAGCCCTTTTCTGGTCGGTTCTCCTTCCCACTGCTCCTGCCCCATCGCCTCCCTGCAGCAGCCCTCCATGCCTGGCACATGGGCTCACGTGCCCACAGGCATTGCCCTGGGAAGTGCTTTTGCTTTCACTTCAGTTTATCCCTCATCTCTGGCCCAGCTCTGTTTCCAGCACCCTGTGAGTCACAGTGGAGGACCCAAAGAGGTCAAAAGACTCAGTCTTGTCCTCACCTAAAGGGCATGTTAGTGAAGAAAACAAAACCTCTCCAAAGAAAGATACAGAACAAATGGCCCCAAATCAAAGAAGACAGTCCAAAGCCCTTCTTCCTGATGCAAGAACTTTGTAAAACAGTTCAAAAGAGTAGCCCTTGCCTCCCAAGGAGAGGTAACCGGGAGCAGGCAGGAGGGTCCCTTTCTGTCCTTGTTCCTTCATGGGATTCAGGGCAGGTACAGGAGCTTGGTGGTGGCAGGAACCAAGGCTCGTGGCCTGACCCTACTAGGGAGACCATGGTTAAGAGCACAGGGGCTGGAGTCAGGCTGCCTTGGGTTGAACCTCAGCTTCTGTCACCAGTGTGTGACCTGAGCAAGTTACATGATGTCTGAGCCCCAGTCTCCTCACCCACAAAATTGGGAGAATGCCTCCTGGGGTGGTTGGAGGGGTAGCATAAAAAGCATGGGCAAAGCACCTAGCCTGGTGGCCTGCTCTTCAGTGCTTTCCATAAATGCTTATTTTTTCTTTTGTGAGCTCCAGTTTCCCTACTTAAAAATGAAGAATACTAACCTCACAAAGCTGCAAATCTAAGAGTTACCATGTGTTAAATGTCTGCAGCATGTCGGGCCCTTGAGTACCACGCTGTTTAGCTTTATCACCCCAACTCTGGTGGCTCTTCTCCCCATTTTACAGGTGGGCCTCAGCAGGGTCCACTAACTTGCCTAGGTCAATAGCGAGGAGGTGGTGAGACAGGGACTTGCTCCCAGGTCTTCCTGCACTGAAGCAGATGCCCTTTCCCAGGGTCAGCTGACTCTTTGTTTTGGGCATGAAGTAGGTTAGTGGGTGAGCTTGTTTTTAGCAACAGGCCTGGACACCCGAGGTGGTGGTTTGTGCCTCTAGATACATTAGTCTATTCCCACAGTCCCAACACACTTAGGCCCAGATATTTTCTGTTTCCATTCACCTGGTTGCTTGAATCTTACTTTTTTATTCTCCCAAAAACTTTTTTTTGTTATTAAAGAATACATCTTTATCAGTATAATATAGCAACTCCGCTCCTAAGCATATACCAACAGAAATGCATGCATATATATGTTCACCAAAAGGCATACACTAGAATGCAATGCCATCTATTCGGGTGTGCTGACTATTCACGGTGGCTGTCAGCAGTGGAACAGGTAAGTAAATCTTGGTCTTCTCATCTGTGGGCTAATACTTGGCAATGAGAAGGAATATGCCATTGCCACACACACAGCCTAGGGGAATCTCACAAACAATGTTGAGCATAAAAGCCAGGCACAACAGAAAACACAGAGTACGATCGCATTGATCTGAAATTCAAAGACCGATCAAATTAATTGATGGTGTTAGAACTCAGAAGAATGGCTACTGTAGGTGAGGGAGTGGCTGGGAGGGGCCTGGGGGTGGTTTCTGGGGGTCTGGGAATGTTCTGTCTTTTGAATTTGGAAATTGGGTACATAGGTATGTGCAGTTTGTGAACATTAATTGAGCTATAAGTACACTTACGATTTCTGTACCTTTATGCTTAAAAATAAAAAATTTAAAAATCATT